CGACTAAAATCAATAGCATATGTTTAGTGGATATGAAGTCAACCTTTTGGATCTACAAACCTGCAATTAAAATCAATATCAGATGTACACAACCAAACACACACCATAATGAACACACACACACACACACACACATATATATATATATATATATATATATATATATATATATATATATATATATATATATATATATATATATATATATATATATATATATATATATATATATATATATAGTTGAAAAACGGTTCAATGTAGTGTAACTGAGATAATGATACAGAATTTCAAACACCTTACGTTGGTAATCGATGTCGATGTAATCAAGTTTTTCTTCTGTAGCATCTCCATTTCGATTTTCTCCCATTAGTACATGTAAGCTACTTTCTTATTGCATATGAAAACATCAGGCACGTAGTGCTTAGGGTTTTGGTTGTTTGGTTTTTAGGTGAAATCTTAACCAATGCGTAGCCCCATCTCTATGTAAAATTTAAATGGATCGAGATTCCTAACTTCTTGCTGATAAATGGAATTAAAACTGTTTTAATTGTTTGGGATAGCACCCATCACTAATTGAGAAATTTTTGCTAATAATTAGGGATATTAAATTGATTTGATTGAAAGTAAACAAAAAAAAACAGGATCGAGATTCGCCGAAAGTAATTTTGCATGAAAAAACGTTGCAATTTTACAGCAACATTACAAAGAGGATGTGATAGGTGGATACGATGAAAGAGGAGGCGACAGACTGATTTAAAGAGAGATGTAGCCATATAGAAGCAGTCTCTGTCGAGATTTCGGGGATTTGGGTTGGAATTTTGAAATTGATTTCAGGGGTGAAGTAGAATTAGTGAAGAATCGTCTAAAGAGAAAGATTGAACAATAAATTTGGAAAGGATTATCCCTAATCAATTCAAAATTTTCAATGATCATTCCCTGATTTATCGTTCTTCTAGTTTGAAAGCAAAGCAAGCGTATCCGTTTTTAGGGAGAGAATGTAAATTGAGAGTAATACCTTTATATATATGGAAGCAAAATTTAAGTTCGAAGGGTACAAACATAATTTAATTTTGAGTGAAAATGGACGTGAGGAGGTATTGAAGAGATGCCAAGCGGAAACTTTGCCACTCTTAATTTGAAGCCATAAAAGGGTAGTTTAGTAATTTCAGTTGAAAGGTAATGAGAGGGAAAATAAGTTTTGGAGGTGCTGAGCAAACGCCACCTGACATAAATTCTACTGTTTTATTAGAATAGGAGATGTTATAAAATTGGTGATAGGTGACAATGAGTAAATCGTGTACTTAAATAAATACTAGGACACGTACCTACTAACTATATAAAGTTAAAGGTTGAGAAAACGATTACGGATTAAGTATGTATAAGAAAATAAATAATGGCGTTTTAGTCATTTAAACAGTTAAAGAAAAAAACTTGGACAAGGAATGAAAAAAAGTATATAAAAATAGAGAATTTTTATATTTTACTCTAATTGTTTTGTATAAAAATCCAGAAAAATATAGAAAAATGTTAGCAGGGACGAAACTGCAAACAAATGACAAATATAAAAACCAAACTCTTTTAAAAACAAGCATATAATTTATTTTTCTAAATAAAACCGGTAATAACATGTAAAAAGGATCAGATAATAACAAAATCAAATGATTCAATGACTAAAATTAGACAAAAAAAGAAATTAAAGACCGAAATGGGACATAAGTCAGATAACAAATAATTCCTAGAATATTTCAAACTTTTCCATTTTTTATATTTATCATCATTATAATTATCAATTATTGTAACCGAAAAAGTAATAAAACATTAATCAGAAGTAGTTTAGACATTGATAATTATATATAACCTCACACTATGCATTGCTACAGTTAGAGCTCAGCGAAAGTGAAATCGAAAAGACAAAAACCAATAAAATCAAAATCGAACACGAACTATCGGTTTTGGGTTTTGATTTTTCAAAATCAAATTATGCAGTTTGGATTCAGTTTGCATATTTAAAACCGAACCGACCCAATGACTTTAAAAACGAAAGGAGCTGACCCAAACCCAAGAAACCGACCTGGTATACATATTATTAATTATTTAATTTATTTTTAATAATATATATATATATATATATATATATATATATATATATATATATATATATATATATAGAATTAACAAAATATTTTGTAATTAAGCTAGATTAAAGTGGAGCCTTATCTTATTCTTAGTGTGTTTGATTAATTTATTAATTTTTAAAAAAATCAATAAGTTAAAAAGATGTTTAGCAAACACTAACTTAACTTTATAGGCAAAAAAAAAAAAAAAAAAAAAAAAATTTTTTTTAAAAAAATGACGAACATTAAATTTATACGCAGAAAAATGACTTTTTAAAAAACTTCTTATGCTATACGTCCATGTTGTAAGTTGTATAATACATATAATAAAATGAACTCAAATTTACATAAGTCAATAAGATGCTGACTGCTTCCTTTTCTTTTATATCTCCATCGTTTTATTCATTTATAGTGCAAATAATAATTTTTTCTAGAAGAATAAAATAAATAAACACATTATTTTTGCTATAATATATAAAGTTTAGATGAATTTACACAAATGTTCCCCATGTTTGGAAAATATATCAAGTTCGATCGTAATAAATGATTTCTTTAAAAGAATGGTCCTAAGTTTGAAATTCCTTATATAAACGGTTTTTAGTCGGGGGGTGTTTGGATAGGGAAAAAATAGATTGCTTATTGCTTATTTCTTAATCCCACCATAATAAGTAAATTTAAGTGGTTGAATAGGAGTTTTTAAAAATCAACTTATTGCGGTATGAATAAACAAAATAAGCTGATTTTAATACGTAATGGAGAATGTTTATTGTTTATTGCTTATTGGTCATTTTACTCATATAAGCTGTTTTATTTTGTCAAACACTTAAATGCTTATTCCCACCGCAATAAATTAATTCAAACACATTTTATAAAATATTTATTCTCACCACAATAAACAAATAAGCAATAAACTAATAAGCTAAAAACTATTTATCCAAACACCCCCTAAATCCAAGTTTCTATGAAATAACCTATATACTCTCACTAAACATTTTTCTTTTATTTCCGACCGTTTATAATTAAATAAAAGAAAATGGATTCCACTTCACCTCTTTGTTTCTACACAATGACTAATTCTATTGCTACTTATACCAAATTTCAAACTAATCATTCTCCTTAATAAATGAAGGTTTTTTTTACCACATGTCAATCTCTTATTAGTTTTGACACTTATCATTTTGCGGTATTTTTAAAATAAATATTATCCACTTGTCAATTTTTGATTTGTTTCAAATTTTAAAATTAAAATCATATACTTATATAGATAAAGTATTAAATATCACATATATATATATATATATATATATATATATATATATATATATATATATATATATATATATATTAAATTACAATAAATAAGTTTCTTCTTGTACATTAAAAAATATTTATTATTCACACAGGTCTAACACCTACTTATTTTCATATAGTTTCTTTACACCCACAAAACCGCTTATCGTGGTTTTATACGTTTTTATTTTACCAAATTTCCATCTAGTAACTGATTTCGGACTAGGCTCAGCCCAAATCAATTAAACAATCCCAATTTCAAATAACCACCTCTAAGGTAGGCATGCAAAAACCGTTTTTTTTTTTTTTTTTTTTTTTTTTTTTTTTTTTTTTCTGAACTAGACTGGTTCAGAAAACCGGTTCGGTTCCGGTCAAAGTAGTCAAAACTGGTTCGGTTCCAAACCGGTTCAGCCCCAAAAATATCCGAACATATGTAAACTGGTTCGGTTTAATAGAAACCGGTTCATCAAAAACCGGTTCAAAAACCGTTCAAAACCGGTTCGACGCAAATAAGCTTTTCTATTTTTTTTTTGGGCTAATAAGTTCAAAACCGGATCAAAAAATCGATTCAACACCGGTTCAAAACCGGATCAAAAAACCGGTTCTTATTAAACCGGTCCTAACGATCAAAATAGCGAATTGGTCCGGTCCGACGGTTCGGTTCATGGGGGGTTCGGTTCAAGGCTGAACTGGTTCGGTGGTAAACCAGTTTCCGATTCACTGACCGGTTCGGTTTGTGAACCGGTTGCCGGTTTGGTCCTAAGTGGGCCTTAGATAAACCTTATCAACTAAACTCATACAACCCACATTGATCACCAATGTAAACGTGACATGTGTCACTAATAATATAAAAAAGTTCACAATAAAAAAAGTAAAAAAGTTAACATATCTAGCATGAACACGGCTGAAAGTTGATTATATTATAAATATATGCTTGTATTATATCGATTACCGAATTTCATATATGTTCTTCTTAAACATCAAAATATAATATTTATCCGATTTAGTTTTTAAATATCATATTTATCCTTCATAAAATTTCTAAATATCATACTTACCCTTTATAAAATTTCAAAATATCATATATGTCATTTTTAATATTAAAATATCATAAATATGCCCTTAAATATCAAAATATCGTATATGAACTTTTTAAACATTAAAATATCAATGATAATATATAAAATATTCTCCATCTACAACATAATAATAATCAACAACAACAAAAACTAAACAATCAAAATATACATTTTATAGAAATGGTTGAAGATAAATCTTTTTGTCTGTCAAGAAGCTGACATTCCATCACTTTAAAAGTTCACATTCAATTATCATAGACGTAAGAATAATATGGTTAAATTTCTTAATTATTATTATAATAATTCTACAAAAAAACATTATAAAAGAGATTTGGGTAATATGATATTTTAGAAGTTTATGACGGATAAATATGATATTGAGAAATTAAAATGGATAAATATGACATTTTGAAGTTTAAGAGGAATATATATGAAATTTTTACTTTATTAAAAATATATTAAATAATTAATAATATGTATAATAAGTAGAGAGAGAGAGAGTTTTGATTTTTGATTAAGATATTTTGTCAAATGGGACCACTTAGTAGAAAATATTAAACCACATACATCCAACGATCCAAACACAAGTTTTCATTCAAAACATATTTATTCAGAACCTCTAAATCATTTAGAGATTGTCAAATACCCCCTTAGGAGCTCCAAATCATAACCATGTTATGTAAAAAAACAACAACAAAGATTTAACATCGGACTTAACCACTTGATCATTTTGTACAACATCTTTATGACACCCCTATAACTACCACTAAACACACTACTAATTATCACACAACAAATTCAAATCCAAAAACACTTATAAAACATAGTTCAACAAATGGGCTCCCTACCGATGATTTGGGCCCAAAAGTGAAAGAAGAAAGGTCCGATAATGACCCGAAGTCTCAGAGTGAACAGCATCATTTAAAGTCTTATGATGATTTTTATGATACTCCGCTTTTATATATTGCATGTCGATTTCAGTCCTTGTCACAATTACTCTTATTAGGGTTTTATCATTTGTCCCTAACCCCTTCATTGCCCTATGAAGTACCTACAATCGTATACTTGTATTAATTAATTTGATACATAATGCGAGTAAAGTTATACACACCATGGGCATTTTCGTCTTTTCCCACCCCCCCACTTCTTTGAACGCTGTTTGTTTGACACGTATGCATGGATTGTGATTATTTCAACAAAATATATAAATAAAATAATAATAATACCTTGGCAAAATACTTCCCAGGATTCTCAGCACATTGCAAAATTGTAACAAGGGCATCCTCGAAGTAACCCGATGTTTCACCTTTTACAGCCTAAGTAAAGTATTATTGTAAGTTAGTTAAAACAAGTACGAAAAAATTATGTGAAAAAGGAAAGGGTATTTGTGTAAATATGAACCTTCTTGAGGGTACTTCCGTATGTACTATGATATGCAGAACTAACAGCAGCAAGATGTGCTCTACTTCTTCCACTGAAAATCATTCTGAATGTTTTTTCATCAGTTCCTAATCGTTTTTCACCAGCTTTAAACAGAGATTTAGCATCAAGATCCACCATTCTTCTATCAACTTCTACACCTTCACTACGTGGTGTGCTTAAATACGCTAGAAGCAACTGTAGAACAAGAAAAAAAAAAAGATGTATTGATCAGTAATTTATTAGTATAATTCAGACTAGAAAAGTTTATAAATTGTGTATAAGATGTGTTGGAGGTTTTTAGTCGAGAAATCAAGAACGGTTTGACTTCAAGAAAAGTCAAGAGTGTGAGATGGTTTTTGATTATGTTCAAAGGGTGTTTTGATTTATAAAATATAGTTTTCCCAAAGGTTAAAGAGGTTTTTTCAAATAGATTTGGAAAATATATTATTTTGTATCGACATTAAAGGCTATGTCTTTTTGTATAAAAAGTCAAAAAAGTAAAGCATTTTCATCAAACTTTGCAAAGATATGTTACAAAAAGAACATTAAAAGATGTTTGTATTTTCATTTTTAATGTGCATTTAATAAGTAGAATGTATATATTTTTTGAGGTTGAGAAACCTCTCCATGGTCGCCAGAAGTTTGAGCTTGAAGATCATGTTCAAGGTAACCACCATGAAGTGCATGATAAAGTTGCTTAAGATGCTGCAACTGAGATGGAGTTCGAGAACATATAACTTCAGTAGCTGCTTTCAGATCAATGTCGGTAGTTAAAGCATCTCGCAGTATCATTGCATCTCTTCTTGCTGGATCTGGCATCCAAAGTAAGACAGCTTTCTGGAACACCATTGAAAGTATCAATCAGGAACAATGTCACATGATTTGCGAACAAATGATGAAATTGAAGAAGATTAGAAGAAGATCGATTCTGATGATAGTACCTTGAGATCGCCACTAAGCTCTGAAGAGAGTCGTTTGGTTAGGGTTTCGGAGTACATAAGTTTATATTCATTTTCAATGAGAGCACGCTGTGATGAATCACGATGAGCGAGAATGTTGATGACTGCAGCACTGTCGCAACCAAATCCTGGAAACACACATTGTTGTTATTTCGTAGCTCTTTATGAATTATGATCGAACATAGATAAGATTAAGAATTCATCAAAATCAACGAACGAAAGCTAGATCTAATCAGATTTTGCTATTTTTTGCGTGATCGGAGATCTACTCTAATGATATTTAGGGATCAAAGCACAAACAAAATTAAACACCTCATATTAGCTATCATTGAACAACAAAGTGAAAAAAGAGCCTCCGAAAGCTCAATTTCGTCTTGTTCACTCATAACTTCTGACATTTCACTGCTTCCATGAAATTCGTACCAAATTAAAGTAAGAAAACACGAAATTAAGCTAAGAAATTACTAAAAAAAACAAAACATATTGCTGATAAACACCAAAAACATGAAAATACGGAAGAAATACTTAAAAAGAGCTCGAATGGAAGCAGGGTTTACAGTTACCCTTAAAAGCTTTGTATAAGTGCATAGCGTCATCACGAGGAGAAGATAACACCGGTGGAATTGTCAAAGTAGCCATTGTTGATTGCAGATTCTTTTCTCTGGATAATGATTTGAAATAACCCCAAACTTTTGTTTGTCAAAAATCGACTGAAATTGAATTTTATATGAAGAACAAGACGTGTGAAACTGAAAATCCCACCAAATTAGGAGTGTTGTATACCTAATAATAGTACATACGCGTTTTGCATTTGGTTCGGGATAAGAACAAAAAAAAAGGGGCCAATTTCCATTCATCGAATAAAACTTGTGGGTATCACAAGCAACATTATATTAAAAAAAAAAAAAAAAAAAAACTTGTGAAATTATGTTAGAATTATTTATTGGTGTAAAATTAAAACAAATCAAACTCCAATCATATAAAAATTAATAAGTTTGAGAATCAAATATATTTAAATGGGTTTAGTATTCATTTTAAATAAATCCGATGAGAACAAGGTTGGCTTGTTCGGAAATACTAGATGTTAGAAAATGGATTATGATCGGATAATTGAAACTGAAAAAGTTATTACCTGATCTAGTAAAACCGTAAAAAAACTATATGAGACTATTGAAAATCATAGCGAATACACTGGGTTATACTTTTTTTTAAAAGAAATCCGATTCAAAACAAACCAAACCTAGTATGAGTTTTGAAACTCAAGTTGGACACCTAAAAGAGGAACAATTGTAGGCAACAACGTATAGATAAAACCTATATTCTTTAGTGTTTGAAAAACAAGTCAAATTGTATTAGTTGAAAGGGATAAAGATATGTGAGATTCAAAAAGAAAACCGAGGTATTCTCATGTAAGGTTCTAGTCGACTTTGATTAGAAAAGAAAAAGATGAAAGGTAAAATGAAAGTCAACTAAATCAAATATGAGACACTAGGTCGTAACCATTGACATTGAAGAGTTTGTGTGCAAAATGTAATTAGTTTAAGTCTAAGAAAAAATTCGTAGCTACAATGAAAAATCGGGTTAAAGTTCAAGAAGCAAAACATTTTGGATTTATAGAGAAGATTTATTTTTGTTTGACTAAGAAAAGCACAACCATACAAAATCAATAAAGTTGATATAAACAAGGGGAAAAGATATACTCAAGTTATTGAAGAAACTTTTAAGATCCATTTTGTGGTCGATAGAAAAAAGAAAATTATGTATATTACATATAGGGGTGACCAAAAATATCATAACTAATTTCCAAAATTATTTAAAAATTATAATTTTGTATATGGATTGGACAGTGACTTTCAAAAATATATTAATCTAATTTTCAAAAATATCATAATCTAATTTCCAAAATTATTTAAAAATTTCGTATATTGATTGGACAGTGATTTCAAATATATATAATCTAATTTCTTAAATTGTTATTTTTGCTTATATTGTCGATTCAAAGTCACAAATATCTTCTTCATTATCAAAATCTTTCAAAATCTCCTACATTCTCGTTTTTTCAACTACACAAACAAGCACGACAAAATGTAGACATATTATAAGAAATGTGATTAAAAGTAACATGTTTAAAAAGACAATATGTTATATTTATTCTTCAAGTTGAACCTTGTTTAAAAAGGCAATATGTTCTATTTATTGTTCGGTAGTTGAACCTTAACTACATCGTCAACCTCCAGCAGTGGAAGTTCATCATCATAAAGAGCATTGGAAGTTCATCATCATAAAGAGAAGGGTATATTACACGAATGGTCTCTATGGTTTAATGTAATTTGTGAGTTCGGTCCCTAATTTATCTTGTAACTTGGAAGATTTCTACTGTTTGTTTTTGTTACGCGTTTGGTCCCTATCTTATCTAAAAATACTATTTTACCATTGATTTTTTTAAATTTATTTAAATAAAAACACACCCCAACCCCACCCCTAACCTTAACTTAAATGTCTCATCATTTTTCTTTGTTTAAATAATAGTATTTTTAGGTAAGACAGGGACCAAACATGTAACAAAAACAAACACTACGAACCAAACGCATAATAAAAATAAACAGTAAGGACCTTTCAAGTTAAAAAAATAATTTAGAGACCAAACACGTAAATTACCTCAAACCATAGGGATCATTCGTGTAATTTTCTCTAAAAAGAATCTAGATCATCCTTTATAATCACTAAGTCATATCCAAAAAAAAACATAAAGCTTAAAAAATACTCATAAGAAAAAATCCATTCGAAATGACATGTTGAAGAAACTTACATTATATATTTCGACTGGATCTTTTTGCACCTCAAGTTAAAATATGTTTTGAATCAAACATTATTGAACATATTAACTTGATAATAAGGTCCCAATTTATAAGGTGACAAAAAACAGTTACAATAGATGTTCACTAAAATCTGCATCGTGGTGATAAACGAGGGTGAAGAAAATGCAGATGTGTTCAAAAAGTATACAAGTAGACTTCGAACTTTTTTTACCATTGACAGGTAAATAGCGATTTAAGATGATTATGATTGTGTTTCAACTTCCATTCAATGTTTCCAAATAAATAAGAAGTTTTTTTTACTCAATACGGTCATATATAAGTATAATATAAGACATGTGTAATTATACGTTTGCTTGTTAAGTGGGATTTTGACACATCAATTGATTTATATACATCAAGTTAGGAAGGTAACATGTCCCCTTATACTTCATACCTTCATAAATCACAAAAAAAAAAAAAAAAAAAAAATTACTCTCACATGCATCACCAGTGACACCATTGAATAACAACATTCAAGGTTGCCAAGCACCACTCACATCACCATAAAAATATGGGTTCAACACCTAATTGATCATCACCTCTTTTAACTAGAAATCACAACTTAAAACAATAAGTGGAATATATCTAAGGGATCAATTCAGTTTGTCCTAATTTATGAACTACCCACCGAAGGCTACACGCATGGAACTCAACCAACATTACTATTTTTAAAGTTATATTTCCCTATCTGCCTCTTATTGGGGTTTTTAAGTTACAATAACATTGTACATGCAAAATTTCACTTAACATTTAAGGGTACTGTAACACTCTGATCATGGAGGTATTTAATTTCTTGAATTTTCTTCACCTTGATTGAAGGTCATGACGTGAAACTTGATGGTCACGTCGTGAATGCCCATTGACTAGTTGACCCATGATTTTGATTCTCACGACATGAGACTTTGGATGCTCACGACGTGAAATTGGCTTGATGACCAAACCCCAATATATTTTGGGTATTTAATGGAAAGATAAGGTTATGGTTGCCTATCCTTACCCTCTTGCACTCTTTTGCCTTCTGAAAACCCTAATCTCGACCCTCTTGAAGTCCTTAGTCATTTTTGAGATCCTTGAGGCATTCTTTGGTGGTTTTTTATGTAACACCCCAGTTTTCAGGTATTTTCAATTCATCTCTTGGTTTTAAAATATGTCATTTTTGGTCCTTGTTTGGAAGGAAGTAGTCACAAGAAACCCTATTGGAAAGATCGTAATTTTGGGAGAAGGAGTGATACGTTGAGCGTACATGTGAGTATGCTAAGCATACTAGGATGTGCCCTAGTACACTAGGCGTACATATATGTACGCTGGGCATACTCATGTTCGAAAGAAACCCTAAGTTTTAGGGTTTGAGGGGTATTTAAGCATCCTTATGGTCATTTATCCCCACCTTTTCTGCCTCCACAGCCTTAGAGCCATTCTTGCAAAACCCTAACCCCCCCCCCCCCCCCCCCATTGAGTGTAATTTTGAGCCCTAAGTGTGTTCTTAGGGTTTTAGAGGAAGCAAAGGTGTATCAGGAAGCTTGGAAGCTTGAAGCAAGGATTGGATCTAGAAGTTTGGCTCTTTTCTCCATTATCCAAAGGTATAAAGTTCACACCTTTATGGTTCGTTTGATAGATCTCATGTTTGGGTCTTTTTATGCTTCTTTTTGGACCCAAATTCTCCATCTTGAGCATGACATGTTATGGATGTTTGGAGTCATCCTTTCAGACCCTTGGAGCGGTCCTTGGTCATAAAAATGAGGTCCCAATGGCTAGAAGTGTCCCATGGTTTTGGTAGAAGAGTCTTAATGGATTAAGACCTCGTATTAGGAGCTTTATGGACGTGTAAGGTCATAAAGTTAGAGACTTTATGACTCTAGTATGCCTCTAGACCCTGGATCTGAAGTGTGAGCTTAAGTGATGTGACATCCCCAATTTCACGGCCAGAAAAGACCGATTTGTTTATGCTTTGTTTTATAAATCAGAGTAATCGTTTAAAGAAAATGGTTGCGGAATTTGTTCCCAAAACAAGATATGATAAAAACTTATCAAAACATTTCTCAAAGAGAATGTATTTTCATTAAATAATAAAACCTCGGGATGTCATGTTCCGATACAGACGCATAAGCATAAACAGAACATACATTCATTTACTCTAGTGATTTACATCTCCTTTAATCTATCAGTGCAAAGCAGCTTCGTATCGATACATGTGATACAATTAAACTGAGTGGGTCAGGCTTGGGAGCCTGGTAAGCATATAAGGTTTTCAACCCACAATAATATAATTATTATATTTAATTATCAAACAATCAACACAATTACCCATCCCCATTATCTTCTTTTAATCTTCCCTAAAGATATTATCCTAAGGGTCATCTCCTATATCATATTTACCGCTCATCTCCTTACATATTATATCCTTATATGCTTGTTCCTAAGAACTTTTCCTAAGGATCATCGCCTACGTACATTTCATAGGCAATACTAATTTGGGGATCACTCCCTTAATATATGTCTAGTAAAGGTTAGGGTATCATCGCATGACTACGCAGCCATAACATCGCCTGGACTCGTAAATCATATTAAGGGTTAGACTATCATCGCATGAATACGTAGCCACAACATCGCCTGGACTCGTAATTCATAGTAAGGGTTAGTCTATCATCGCATGAATACGTAGCCACAACATCGCCTGGACTCATGATTCATAGTAAGGTTTAGAGTATCATCGTATGAATACGTAGCCACAATATCGGCTGGACTCGTAATTCATCACCTACAGGTTATGAGCCTGCTGGTGTTTCCACGGGGTCATCTAGAATAGTCTGTGGTCACCATCTATACTCTGGTAGATGACTACATCGCCAAATTCCCACATCGCTGATCAAGGTTATGGTATCTCCTCTCATCTCACATCACCTATTTATCATCACCTATCTATCATCACCTATTTCTCATCACCTAATTATCATCACCTAATTATCATCACATATTTCTCATCACCTAATTATCATCAC